TATATTAAAATATATAAATATATATTAATTAAAGTGGGTAGCTCTATTTTCGTAATTAATTATTTTTTAATATTATTTAAGACAAAAAATCTTAAATTCTGAACTTACAATCTATTTGACTAAATAAAATAGATAAAGTTTATTTTTATAATTAATAATTTTTTCAATATTATTTAAAATAAAAAATCTTAAGATTCTATAATATATATATATATATATATATATATATATATATATATATATATATATATATATATATTATCTCTTCACTCATATCGAAAATATCTGTTGAAATATAGTTATTGATACATTAACTATTTATTACCCTTGGGGAGTGTTTGAATCAAGAGGCAAAGATTCACCAACCGTAGAATATACCCATACCTCATGTCTCTACCCTAACACAATAAAACGATGTCATTGGTGGTTTTTTTTTTATCATATTAGGTAAAAAAAATGATTTTATGAAAGTGGTTGAATTTTTTTTAAAATAAATTAAATCGTATTAGATGAAACGAATTTGAGATGATGAAATCGAATTTAAAAACACATTTTTTAATTAAAATTGTGTTTCTAAATATTTTTTTTAATATGTTTATTTGGTAACACGAGTTATATATACATATTATTATATAGTAGACGTGTTACGTGAGTTTTTCACAATATATTTTTTGAAAAATAGGATATTTTATTTTATAAAAATATATCATTAATTAAATAATTATTTTAATTAAATTATTAATTTAATAGAAAATAAAAAATATTTAAATAAATATAATTAAATGTAATTTATTATATTTATATTAAAATATTACATTATTTAAAAAATATAATTTTATTATCAAAATAAATTATATGGTTTATTTTAATAAGAGAAACAGTTTTTTTTTTAATTTGTACATTTAATTTATTCTGATAAAAGATACATAAAAAATACATATAATTAATCGGATTCGAAATAAGATAGATATATAAATTAAAAAAAATAAATATTTTTTTATCAAAATAAATTATATAATTATACAATCTGCTTATTTTAATAATAAATTTATATATATATATATATATTTTAAATAATATAATATTTTAATATAAATATAATAAATTAAATTTAATAATTAAAAATAATGATTTAATGAATAATATATTTTGAAAAATAAAAAATATCCATTTAAAAAAAACATTCGTGCTTTAAAGAAAATAAAAAATAAAATTTCGTTTGAAAACATACTTTTTACTGAAATAATATTATTATAATATATATACACGTAATGTAACCTCTCATAAAATTATTTACTTAACTGGACTTCTTTTTCAGTTACACTTGGAATTCGATTTTCCGTAAACCGAATTCCAACTTTAAACTTACCACTTTTTTTAAATAAAAAATAAAATAAAATATATAATTATCTAATACTATTATAAATAAAATTTTAATTTTAAAATTTAAATAATATTTATATATAAAATAATAAAAATAATATATTATTTAAATATATATTAAATTATCTAACTATATTAAAAAATTATTAAAAATATTAAATAATATTTTTTTATTATATTTATATATATTTATTTATTAATTTTTTAATAGAAAATTTAAAATTTATATATTTTTTTAATTATATGAATTATTTAAGTTATAATTTTAGAAAAAATTGATAAATTTAATATATAAAATATTAAAAGTAAAATTAAAAATAAGTTATTAGTAACAAAATAAAAATTATAGAACAAGATATTAAAGAAAAATAAACTTATTAAAATAGAAATAAATGATAAAACATACCTTGTAATTGAAAAATTATTAATTATAAAAGACATACAAATAAATTGAAATGACTTAAATGAAAATAAATTAAAAGAGTTATATTAACGAAATCCAAAACGTAATAGATGTCCCCCTCCTCGTGGAACTAGACACCACTTTGGAGATTAAAATTTTCTTAATATTATTGTCAATAATTGTCAATAATTTTATTTTTCAATTTTTATAATCAATGATTATGCTATTTTTAATATTACACATTAAATTCTGTCAATTTTTATTATTTTTTATTTGTAAGTTTATTTTATATTAATAATAATAATTTTTAACTAATTAAATAATATTTTTACTTTATTATTTAAAAAAATTAATTTTAGCATGAATTTTTTAATATAATATTTATAATTTATCAAATAAAAACTATTACATAAATTTTTATAATATAATATTTAAATTTTTAATATATTACCTAAATTAAATGTTTATTTATTCTATTTTTTTTTCTAAAATTATAACTTAAATAATTCATATAATAAAAAAATATATAAATTTTAAATTTCCTATTCAAAAATAAAAAAATATATAAAAAAATATAACAAAAAATTATTATTTAATATTTTTAATAATTATTTAAATATATTTAAATAATTTAATATATATTTAAATAATATTTTTTTATATAAATATTATTTAAATCTTAAAAATTTATTTTTAATATTAATTTTATTCTTTTTAATTATATATTTTATTTAATTTTTTATTTAAAAAAGGTAATAAGTTTAAAGTTGAAAATCAATTTAGAGGAAACTCGAATTACAAGTACAACAAGTAAAAGAAGTTCAGCTTAAACAAATAATTTGACGAGAGATTCAGTTAAATAAATAATTTTATAAGAGATTATATATAATATAATAATATTATTTAATAAAAAAAGTATTGAAAACACTATTTCAATTAAAAATATGTTTCTAAACACGTTTTTACCCTCACAATCGTTTCACCTTTGATCCATTTAAAAAAAAATTACATTTTCAACCCCTTTATTAAAATTATTTTTTTTACCCAAAATGGTAAAAAAACCGTCTTTGGTGCATTACAAATTAGCCTAATCAAAAAATATATTTGACACAAACCTAAGGTTCCTTTCACTTAACTTTTATATGTCAAGTTTATAATATTTCTTTTTCATATGTGCCAACTATTACAATATATTCATAGTATCATCCATGATGCTTTTATTGAGGGTATCGAACTACAACTATTACCAATAAAAAAATGTTTAACTTACTTTCTCTCTTAACTTTGGATCGGTGCATTTTGATTCTTATGAGGATACAACTTTATTTTTTTTAAAAACCTTTCTTTATTAGAACCTTTAAAAGTAAAAGAAAGAGTGTAATATTAGATAATGTGAGAAAAAAACTTTTTCGTCCATAATTTATAATACAAAGGATAATATTAGAAAAAGTATGCGTACTTTCTATAACCATTGTTATCAAACTTTATCCACACAAATTTTATAAGTTAGTATTTAGAGAAATAATTTATTCTAATATTTGTCGAAGGCATCAATGAGATTTTTCGTAAATAAATAGGAATTAATTATATAAAAGAATTTGATATAATTAAAAAAAAATAAAAAGCATTATATTATGTATGAGTTTTCCCCATTTTAATATTTTCATTTTTTCTTTTACTAATATATAATTTCACCTGCTACTTAAATTCTCAATAATATTTCGCTTAAAATATTATTTTTTATATTATATATTTTTTCCTCGATTCAATGGACTAGTTTATCTTAATTTTATAATTTTGAATTTTTTAATAATTTTGAATTTTTTATGCTATAATTTACTTTTAATGTTTTAAGGTTTATTATTATTTATATTATAAAAAATAATAATTATAATAATAATTTGATTAATAATTATAACTATTCTAATAAATAAATATAATTACAATAAATAGTCAAATTTTTATCATTAATAATAATAATAATAAATTATTATAATGATTACTTATTATTATAATTAGTTTTTTATAATTATTATTAATCTTAATTTTTTTATTTATTTTTTCTTAGAATTTTTTTTTTCATTTTCTCCGATATAATTAATAAGAAGCTGACATTTCTGTCCTTAAAACTAACTTAATCACACATTTTTCATCCATTCTTCTTTCTCGTCTTAAATATATTATTTTGAAAAAACATGACTTTTTTCATAAAAAAATTGTAACTAACTAATCAATCCTAATATTCTAAACCTTATAATATATATTCTGTTATTGAAAAGTAAGAGCATCTCCTTCGGTTAATTAGAGAAATTCTTAAAATTGAAAATTTTTAAATATATATTTTAAAAGAAATATTTAAGTTTACGACAAAATATTTAATAAATCTCTTTTTTTTAATTGTGAATTTTTAAAAAATTATTAAGTTCGAATATGTTTTTAAAATAAATATTAACTTTTTTAAATAACTAAATACTAAAATATTCCATTTGTAATAAAATTGGGAGTAAGTTAAAAATTATTACGTCGGAAAGGTTTTTAAAATGAATATTAACTTTTTTTAAAAATAAGTAAAAAATAAAAAATGTTAGAATTGTATTTTTGTTAATTTAAATAATTTATATACAGTATATAGATACTAATATTGTGCTAATCGCGGTAAAAGTTAGCGATTCGTTAGTTGATCCACTTGAACACGGAATGAACACTAAAACATTTATTCCTGTAATCCCGCAATTGTGTGACGTTAAAGGTGAAACATTATTTTGACCAAAGTATTCATAAAACTAACCACAGAAGTGGAAATTTAAAATTGCGCGGGGTGACCCAATGAAAGAGAGTATTTTGGGCAAAATTGGTTGAAAAATGAATTAAAAGAGTGTTCTTAATTTGAACTTGATTCTCCTCTTTCTGCCACTTGTGTGTGCATTGTCCTGATTTGGGTTACAAAATCTTTTAATTGTCGTTTGAGAAGATATATTCGAGCAACACCCTAAACCCCACCAAGGGTACTTTTCATTGTGTTTATAAAGACCTATCTTGCTTATCTCTTTCCATGCCATCCCTTGACTTAGAGGGTTCTCTAAAGTAGCCATCCTTTTCTGTTGGGGATCAAAGCCAAGCCACCAAATCTTTCATTTTTGTTCTTGGCACCCTATAATAATATATTACCTAGCTTGCTTGCTCAAGATTAATTGCTTTGATTTAGTCACTTTGGATGGCATCATCTTGGACTCCAAGGCAAAACAAACTATTTGAAGAAGCTCTTGCTATATATGACAGGGAAACCCCTGACAAGTGGCAGAATGTGGCAAGAGTCGTGGGAAAATCCGTGGAAGAGGTCAAAAAGCACTTTGAGATCCTCAAAGAAGATGTCAACCGCATTGAGCGTGGACAGATCCCATTACCTAATTACACAGGTATGCCGCCGCTATTTCCAAATGTGAGTGATTGGAACAGAAAAACAAATAAATTTATAGTGCTACGAATTCTGTAAGTTTTTTTAACTTTAACAAGTTACAGAGTGGTGTGAACCTTTTTTTCATCTTTTATTTTTTAAACATGGCAGGTTCTCAATGATCCAGAAATGAGAATGAATGGAGGATTAGCAAACTCAGTAGTGTGGTGTGTTCCTTATAAATAAATCTATCAGCAACTGCAAGTCCTGAAGGACTTTGCTTTGCTATATATGTAAAATGTAAGTTATTTTCTAGATTGTGTTCGAGAATAAGTGACTGTCAAATAAGGAGTTTGCACTGCAAATTACCATGTTCACTCTTTCTCATTTTTTTAAATATTTGCAATGAATATAAATTATTTAAAAATAAGTAAAAACAATTAATATATAATTAATTTAAAGTATGAGGTTCATGAAATGTTGAAAATCTAAATAAATTCATCTCTCTCTCTATATATATATAACATAAAATTATTGTATCGTGTTAATAATAACTCCTTTATAAGCTGTACAAATAATGTATTTTATTAAATTTACAATATAAAATATTTTAATAATAATTTAGGAACATAAATGTCTGTTAAACTTTAAAATATGATAGAGAAAGTTTTAATAGTTTATATTTTGATTCTTAATCAGTAAAAAATAAAAAAGAAATTAATTTTTATATGATGCACTTGGGATATTTATGCCCTTCTACTCGACTGTTTATCGTATAGGAAATTAAAACAAATAATTTGTTAAAAGACTTTTTTCTTATAAATTTAATAAAAAAATTATATAAATGTTATTTGAAATTTATAGTTTATTATTATTGTTATTTTTTTATATATCTTTCAGGTATGTTGAGATATTACTTTTAATCTTACATTAAACTTCCCAATATTATCGTTTACCATTACCTTTTATTTATATATAATCATTACGATTTTATTCTTTAAATACATTGTTAGAACAATATCGTGTTAACAAAATTGAATTGATAGAAAAAACTAAAATATTTATGTGAATAACCATTTATGTTTTCTTAATTGATTTTATAATGCACCACATACATGATGTAATATTATCTACAACTATACAATCTTAGTGTATATAAATTTAATTATGATATATTTTATTCCTATATTTATTTTTCATATTTTCAAACTGTTTATACTCCTAATCAGATACCTACTCCTATTATTTAAATTTTAATTATTACTTTATTATTATTTTTTAAATCAGAAACATAGAACGTCTATTTTTTTCCGAGTGAATTATAAGGTGGTTCCCTATCTCACATTCTTGTTAAATTAATGATAAAATGTTTATCAGTTTGAAAGAGTAAAACTAACGATATGAACATTATTTCCCCTCGTTAATTCACTTTTTCTTTTTCATAATCTTTACACCAAAATAAATTTCATATAAACACTTTTCAAAAGATTTCGGAAAATAATATATTTTCTCTTATTTATTAAAATTTTTAAAAATTAAATATAGAACAATTTAATGAATTATGAAGTTGATTAACACAACCCGAATCATCATTAAATGAAGAGGATCCACTGGGCTAAAAAGCCCACCGCCACGTCCCCGAATCTGTTTCCGTGTTCCGGTGATAAACGTCATCGTTTAAGGGTTTTAATTGTTCTCCACGCAGCGTCCTTCTCAAACTTTTCTTTTCCGTTTCAGTTTAAACCCTAGCGAAGGGTTTAAGCTCGCGCCACATAAAGCTTCTTCATGATCCATTTGGAAGGTGCGTTCTAAGCCATGGCAGCTGCAAGGTTAACCTCATACGTGGCGGTAACATCCGCTGCGGTGGTTTCCATGTCCACGTTCTCCGATCGTGCCTACGCTGACTCTTCGTTCCGATTCCCTTTCTTCTCTTCTTCACCTTCCAATACCCCGTCGCCGCAGAACCAGGCTTCCGACACCAATTCGGAGTCTCCGGCGCCCGAGGAACCTAACAAGTCGGGTTTCGACCCGGAATCGTTAGAAAGAGGAGCCAAAGCTCTCCGTGAAATCAACAGTTCTCCCTACTCAAAGCAGGTTATTTTATTGCTGGTTCTGGAACTCTCTGCATTATTTGTTCAAAATGAGGAATGGCGCATGTTCTTTGCGTCGGGAAGGATTATAGTTTTCTGATTCTTTGTTGTTGTTATGCAGGTGTTTGATTTAATGCGAAAACAGGAGCAAACTCGCCTCGCTGAATTAGACGCTGAGAAAGTTCACTACGAACTTATTCAGTCTCAAGGAGATATTGTAAGTTTAGCGTTAGTTCATGATCATTTCAATTTTTGCCTTGTACGTTGTGCTTTACAATATAGATCAATCTAACCTATCAAAGACTTAGTACAGTCCTCCATAAAGCTTGGACCTACATGCAATATTCAACTAACACTGGGCTGGTTGGATGGTTGGCAATTTTGTCACATTCTATTTCGTTTGCAATTTTCCCGTTTTATACCAAGTTATCACTATATTTTGTATTATTACAGTTTTTTTCATCGTTATTTTCATCCCTGTCGGATTAAAGTGTGATAACAATTATTTAAGGTTTCTGTAAATCTATATATCATCACAGGAAATCATTTTGGTGTACATTTAAAAAAAAAATTATCTTGCTCTGATGTGTCAAATAAATATTATTGCAGGAAAGGCAACGGAAAATGGCTGAAGAACAACGAAATTTAATACAAGAGCAAGCCCAGAGACAGGCCCAGGTGCTGCGGTATGAAGATGAACTGGCAAGGAAAAGAATGCAGGTGTAGTAGACTGAATAAACAATATACTTTTTGTGTAATTTGTGAATTTAAAAAGCTTTGGTAATTACATTCGAATCTAGGAATGTTTTTCTGCCAGATAGATCAAAAAGTCGTGGCTTTGAGAATTAATGTAATTAAAAAATATATGCATGAGGAACGGAGCTTGAGCTTAAACTTTTGGTCAGTAAATCTCTTTTGCTCTTTGGTCCTTGCCACTGGATATACTTTCGCTGGCAAACTTATCTTGTTTTAGTCAGTTGAATATTTTTTTAGAGAATTGTGTGATCTTTATTTTCTCAACAAATTCTGATGTTTACCCCCCCTACCTATCTTGGTGTTTAAAACTCTGTAGCGATAGGATCCTATGCAAATTTAACTTTTTCAGCTTTCAAGTTTTCCTGAGATTAAAATGTTTTACATAGAATGGTTATACATAAGTTGCCATTCGCAGACAGATCATGAAGCCCAAAGGCAACATAATGTTGAATTGGTCAAGATGCAAGAGGAGTCTTCTGTAAGAAAGGAGCGGGCAAGACAGGCTACTGAAGAACAGATTCAATCTCAGCAGCGTCAGACAGAGAGAGAGAGAGCTGAAATAGAAAGAGAAACTATTAGAGTTAAGGCAATGGCTGAGGCCGAAGGCCGAGCCCATGAAGCCAAATTGACTGAGGATCATAACAGGAGAATGCTTATAGAACGATTGCAAGGTGAAAGAGATAAATGGCTTGCTGCAATTAACACAACTTTCAGTCATATTGAAGGTATGCAGCTGATAAGTGCATCTACTGTGTTTAATATAATTTTGGCCTTTATGGGAGGATCATATTTTGTGGATTTTAACTGTCTTGTCTGTGTTGCGCTACTTACTCCTATTTATGGATTAGCTACTATGCAGTTACACTTTTATCGTGTCAATTTCTGTTTTCCTATTGGTAAATGTGAATAATATCAATGCGGATACCAATTTTTGGTTGGTAAGTTCGTAGTAAAGCAATGTGCAGCAGTTGCTATTGTAAACTGAAATGGTTTTAACTTGTTGCTATTGATAATTATGCCAAAGTCCATACACAAGTATAAACTTGCATATTGAATGCACGAAACCAAAATGCATAACACAAGACACATAGTGTCTGCTTCCAAAACATATTTTCTGTACTTTCGGTGACAGAATGGATGTCAACTTGTATTAATATTGCACTCCCTTTGCAACTATGTGAAAATTCTTGACAGTGAAGGTTCCCAGAATTGTTAATCATTTTACCTGGATAAATTTTCAATTATTACAGCCTAGGTTTTTAAGCTCTATACAAGCTTATGTCCTACTCATATCTCGTAGAGTAGCATTCACGGTTATATGATATTATAGAGATCATAGCTGCTTACAAAATGTAAGTACTGCTGTAAATATACTGTTCTGACAGTCAGGTTTTATTATTAAAGATATTTTTGCATGTGTTTAAGAAAATATTGTGATTTTGGAGTTTTTGTTTCTTTTGTTGCCAAGATTTGTGTCACAGCCGAAATGTTACTAGCATGTATTATTCCATCTTACTTCATTTTTTTATCATGGTAACCTTGCTTTTATCAACTGTTTTTGTTGTTAGATGATAAATTGATCTTTGCTTTGAAAATTATTTCAGCTGACCTTTTACAATATGCAGGTGGTCTAAGGGCCTTGTTGACTGATAGGGACAAATTGCTTATGACTGTTGGAGGAGCTACTGCACTAGCTGCAGGAGTATATACAACAAGGTAGATATGCTGTTTTTCTTGATGCATTTGGCTCTAAAATTCTGTTAGATATATACACATTACCATCATCTCATGTATGTCACTATAATAATGTTTGTCAATGTACTTTTAACCATACCAAAGACTTTGTGAAAGTGGTAAAACTGATCGCGAATCAGTTGTATCTAAAATGCATAATCTAGATGTACAATAGTTGTTTTATGTGGTATTGGATGCCAATCAATTGCTTAGTAACTGGACAATAACATCCACATCATCTCTGACAACTATTGATGTTGTAAGTCTGAGATTAAAGGAAAGAGAATAGTAAGTGTTATTTCTGTATCTTATGCTACAGAAGTGATGGCCACTACATAGAATCAATCTAGCAACCTCAGGTCTATTACCAACCCTTCCATTCCCAGCCCTAAGGAACAAAACAGGAGAAAACATGAATTCAAATAAAATCAAGATTTTTCATACTCTGATGCTACATTCTCCCTTTTCAACGATAAGCCACTTCAAACCTTTATTACTATGAAATGTTGTCATGGAAACTCTTGGTGATAATTCACTTAAAACCACTTACAAATTCTTATATGTCTTCCTCCCCAATTTGATTAGAAGACAGGTTCAGTGGGTAGGATCAACTGTTGCTGAATTTGTGTTTTCTGGATAAAATATGCACTGGGTTCTATCCTAATTTTTCAAATCCTTGTTCATCACAATTCTGCATTTTTCTGTCCTTTTCAAATGATATCTGATTGATTATATTGTACTTCCTTTTTCTACAGAGAAGGTGCTAAAGTCACCTGGGGCTACATTAATCGAATTTTAGGGCAGCCGTCACTGATCCGGGAATCATCAATGGAAAACTTTCCAGGATCGAAGATCATTTCTCAAGCCAAAAATAAACTTCTTAATAATAGTAGTTTGGTTGGGGCAGAAAAACCTATTGGGTGTAAAAATGGCATTGGAAATGTAATCCTCCATCCTTCGTTACAGAGAAGAATAGAGCATCTTGCACGTGCAACATCAAATACGAAAGCCCATCAGGCACCATTTCGCAACATGCTTTTTTATGGGCCTCCGGGCACTGGTAAAACGATGGTTGCAAGGGAAATAGCTAGAAGATCGGTATGGTGATTAGTTCTTTAATACACAGTTCTGATTTATATTTGGCTTTGTCTACATTTATATGATGTGTTGCTAAGTTGTTTTTACTGACAATCTGACGGAAGTTTCTGGAATTAGTGTTTGTGATGCATGAACAACTGAATTAAATTAATTATTATCATGCTCAAATTCTGTTTTATATTTATATTACTAGTTGGTGGGTTTGGTTTATGTTGTATACGTTTAAGCATTTTTCGTTAGCTAGCCATGGAGTTTCTTTGGTTAGTATTTTATGGCTCATTATCCTTTCTATTTGCAGAATATTAGAAAGGTATCCTTGACTATTGTTGACTTTCATGTTTGATGTGAAGGGTTTGGATTATGCCATGATGACTGGAGGAGATGTTGCACCTCTGGGCGCTCAGGCTGTTACCAAAATTCATGATATATTTGATTGGGCCAAGAAATCTAGAAAAGGCCTATTGCTTTTTATTGATGAGGCAGATGCTTTCCTTTGCGAGTAAGTTATAGAGTTTAAAATGCATTTTGACTGCTGCTATAAAATATAACTATGTAAATTTCTACCGTGTAGCAGGGTAGCCAAAATTATTTGGGTTTTGTTTAACATGTGAAAAATGTAAATGTTGTATTACAACAGTCTATCTTTATACTTTTATAACAGTTTATCTTTGATTTACTTTGCATTTTTAATTTTGATATTTTAGAATCACGAAGTGTCTTTAACTTGGAGATATTTTTTTATCATTGAGAAAATACACTTATTCGGAGATTAAATACATAGAGGAACCAACCACAGCATTTTATGGATTTTGTGTCTGTATTTGTTTTTACCCTATTGGATATGACTTGGAAGGATTACAATTTTCACCCTCTATTACAGAAACAATGGGTGTGATATGTTCGATAATGATGATCACTTTTTCATGGCAATTTATTGATTACTTTTTACTCAATGCAGGCGTAACAGCTCACACATGAGTGAAGCTCAGCGAAGTGCTCTCAACGCTTTGCTCTTCAGAACTGGTGATCAGTCTCGAGACATAGTACTTGTCCTTGCGACAAACAGACCAGGTGATCTTGACAGTGCAGTTACTGATCGCATTGATGAAGTGATTGAATTTCCGCTTCCAGGAGAGGAGGAGCGTCTAAAGTTATTGAAGCTCTATTTAAACAAATATTTATGTGATGACAATAATGGCTCCAAGGGAGGCTTGTTGCTGAAGAAGCAGCCTCAGAAGATTACTATAAAAGATTTATCCGAAGATGTTTTCAGAGAGGCTGCCAAGAAGACAGAGGGATTTTCTGGGCGTGAAATTGCCAAACTCATGGCCAGCGTCCAAGCTGCTGTCTATGGGCGCCCAGATTGCATCTTGGATTCCCAGTTGTTTAAAGAGATTGTAGATTACAAGGTGGTCGAACATCATCAACGATTAAAACTAACAGCTGAAGGTGGCCAGCCCGGCCAAATATGATTTGTTTGAGCATTAATTTCAATCCACATTGACCTGCTGTGAGTTTTTTCGTTCATGATGTTATGTGTGCCATTATTTGTGCGGCAGATGAAGCAGGTTCGTTAAAAGTACTTCCCTAGACGCATTTTGCGAGCCAAATTTTTGGATTCATTTCGGCTTTATTATCAGGATCCATTCCAACGTCACCTTTCCACTTCATGCTACGGAGCAAGAAGCCAGGAGTTTTTAGAGTAGACAAGTCTAATTATTATATCTTGATTAATAAAATTTTAGGATACGCTCAATATTGTAATTTAAACGGCAGATTTTATGAATATGATTTCATTCTAATTCCATTGAAGTTTCATCAAAAGTTAGTATGCTAAATAATTATTTATTTTTGCTTTGATATAATAATTATCCTTATACGGTTTACAATCAAACTTATTTATGTATATCGGGGGAAAAATTAACATCAAACTTCTTTTCGTACATTTCAGGGAACTTTGCATTTATTTGTATTTAATATTTTATTAATTGTTTTTATATCTGTAAATGTATAGTGTAAATAGGGAATTTACGAATTTAGCATCCTTGCCTTTCATATATTTCGCTTATCGAGTTAAAATTATGGCTCAATGTATATCAGGTTTGGTTGTGTTTTTATTTCAAATCATTATAATTTCCTATCGACATGTGATTTAATTGATAAAGTTAGAAAAGAAATATAAAAGTTGAGATTTATGAAAATTCTAATTTCTATTTTTAAATTAAGTAATATTAACATCTGTTATCGGGAATTCTGGTGGCCTAGTTTTATTTAAGAGATTTTATTTTGAAAACCCTTTTCTACAAATATCTATTCTACCACTTTCATTTCTCTTACATATCTTATTATAATATTATTATTTATTATTATTTTATTCTTATTTAATGGTTATAGAATGAAACCTTATTGGATGTCAAAATATCACCACCCTTTATTTAATTCTTCCTCGGCCAGTTTTTGCTGCAACTAAAAGTTATAGTTTCTTCCACTTTCGTTTCGGAAAATTGTTTTGGAAAATGGGTGCTTGAGTTGTTGATATCACGCTGCATTATTTCTTTATAGTTTCTTGCTAATTTGTTTTGACAAATAGGAAATAGGTTTCCTTTCATAACAACGATCATTCAGGCACAAATGTCTTTGATTTGGGCATTTTTTATAACTTAATACATTGAGCATTAATCTCTTCAGACTGTATACTTGTATTTTGTTCAGAATAGAGTTGAAAGAAAAGCAAATATAAAAGCTGCGGCCTGTAGTTATTTCCTAAGGATAGAAAGCGTGCAAAATTTGTTATATATATATATATTTTTTTAATTAACGTCTTATAATGATTAAATTGAGGTCTCATTTAATCAAATCTGGAGTTCCATTCTCGGTTTAGGTTGAGAGTCGTAACTGAATAATTAATATTAGAGTTTAGAACACTATCCAAAAATTTGCTCTTTTAACTAATTATTTATGTGAATTTTTTTTATGGTGCACTTGATAGGGGGAAAAAATTGGTAAAACGAAAATTAAAAACTAAAAGGAATAGAAGTAAACAAAAAATAAAACAATTCAGAAGACAAGATATGCACGAAAAGGAAAAGGTCGCAAGATACAAACACTTTATGGACATTCATTAAAAATATCTGTATGGACAAGTGTGATTGGCAGAACCCCATTCTCTTTGGGCCAGTTTTTTCTTTTTCCTCTCTAGGGTCGCAAGTGTAACTGATATGACATTTCTCCGATAAGATATATAAGATTATCATGGTGTGGTGTTATTGGTGAAAATTTTTGGTTTTCTTTTTATTTTTTCACAGACTAGGTTTTACTTAATTTTCAATTATCCTAAACTGTTTTTATTTAGGTTAGTAAATAAAAATTTTCAATTAAAATATATAAAACGATAAGTTTAAGTACGGTGGAAAATAAATTTAAAAACATACAAACTACTCAAAAGAAATAGTTCTTTTTATATTTTTTATTAAGAGACTTGAGAATATAAAAATCGATAAAATAAAGAAAATAGTAAAAGATGTCAATACGAAAAAGTAATACATAATTTTAAATTGTACCATAGTAGATTACCAATGAATTGAAATAACTTTTTCGAAATACTTGAAAGGTAAATAAATAAAGGAACGAACAATACGAACTTAAATTGCATGTAAATAAATTAACAGTAAAAGTAAAGAAAGTGGTAAAAGATGTTGATAAAAGCGGAAATCCAGATTGTCAGAAATTCTATGATCGTCGTGATTCTCCAATAGACTTTACAAGGAATTTCTGATATCCCCGAAAATCCCCTTCCTTCTTCAAGTTTGTTCTATTTATAATCTTATTTAACATAACCCCCTAAGAACGGTTTAGAAACTGCTACCCCATGTTCCCATGCGCAAAATAACTACTTTTCTCGATTTCGACCCCAGATATGGAGTACTTTGGAATGTTTGACCACCTAAGAACGGTTTAAAAACCGTTACCACATATTCCCATGTGCAAGATAATTGTTTCCGTCGATTTCAACTCCAAACATCGAATATTTGAATTTTCCCTCAAACTTACCACTCGATACATATTATCGATTTTTTACTCTCATTCATATTCATCGAATTTCCTCTATCCTCTTTCGATTCATATCTCAATTTATCTACTTTCCAATCTATATTTCGATTTATCCACTTTTCGATTTATATCTCAATTTTTTTCCAACACATTATCATCAAAATTCTTCTATCCACTTTCTATTCATATCTCAATTTTCCAAAAACATTATGATCGAATTTCTTCTACCACTTCTCTATATATTTGCCAATTTGATTGTTTAGACTAATAATTCAATGTTACTGATTAAATTAAAATAATTACATACCAATTCATCCATATCGTTCATGTTATTTTATCTACACAACCTAGTTCACACTGGTTCTTGTCACAGGCCTTTAGAACAAAAAAAGAAAAAAAAGAGAGAGAAATTCACCGATATAAAAGTTTTCCACAAAAGTTATACTCACAAGGAGATAAGATAGCTTATGTGACATAAAGATAAAAGGAAAAAAAATAGTAGCGTGAATTTACTGATTACATTAATGAGTGATTAAAAAAGTGATGGTGATATTTCATGTTATGTAACCCAAATCCTAGCATGTAACAAAGTCTTTGTATGAATCAAATTTCCACAAGGTGGAGCAAAACCCGTTAATGCCATCAACGTTGGAGCAAAACGCGGGCCTTGCGGGTCCACCCCAACACTCCACGTTCCTTCAACACGTGTCCAAAAGCTGGCATCTCTACTCTCTCACCACCCTCTAAATTCTGCCACGTTTCTCCCAAGCACCACGTGGAGTTCATGCTGCACTACATATTTATATATATAGCCACCTTATCTTTCGTTCTATTCTCACATCTACACGGTCAAGGAAAAGAAAATCGTTTTCGTCCAGAAGAGAAAGAGAGCGGAAAATGGGAAGCACAAAGCTCCTGTTGTTGTCGATGGTGTTTCTTGCAGTGTGTGCTGGGACATGCAGGCCTTTGGGTGATGATGTGGTTGAAGACGCCAAATCCAAAGCAGAGGACGCAAAGAAGTTTGCCGCAGGAATGATGCGTGATACCGAGGAAGGGACCTGGTCTTTCTCTGATTGGGCTCAAGACATGTTCTCTAAGTAATGTCCTCTCTCGCTATTCTTCAATCTAATACAGTTTCCTTCTCCACCCTCTTATCATATATATTTATTTCAATCTTATTTCATTTTATTTCAGTTATATATATATATCCAGCATGCATGTTCCGTTTTATAACTTATACTGACACCAGTTTCAACAGGAGAAAAAGATGTTATTATTATGTTGCATATCAGCATATTAGAGGTTTTCATATCTGAGAAAGTTTTGAATTAAGATTGTTCATAGTTTTGAATATGATTATCTCTGAAGAGCATGTAGAGAAAAAAAAGAAGACTAATCGTATAATAATCATGTTAATTTGTAAGCATGTCAAGTGGTAGATGTCAATGAGATTGATGTGGGAAACTTGAGCAAATCTTTTCCCATGAATGCTACCGCTTCTCGTGCTTAGTATATAACGGGTATTTTGCTTTGTAATCTGTAACTTGCGTTCTGGTGCTTTTTAGGCCAAATTAATCTTAAATGTTGTCGTTTTGTTCACTAGTTTGAATTATTGTGGCAGAAATTTCGGAGAGGATAAATCGACTCAAAACATGAAGTATAATGTTGAAGATGTTGCCTCAATGACCGCAGACACAGTGAAATCTGCAGCATCAGGTAACAGTTGTTCATTCATTGCCACTCTATCTCTTGCATAAACGCCTATCGCTTAAATTTTGGTATCAAATTAAAAAATGTAGTATCTTTTTTGTTTGTAGGAGCGTCGGACTATGCTTCTGAAAAGGCTACGGATGCTAAGGAAGCAATTTCAGGGGCCATGGCACAAGGAAAGGAGAAATTGTATGACGCTTATGATGGAAACGCCAAGGTCATAAAAATGCCAACAGATATTAATAATGCAAAAGACAGACTGGGAGAAACCGTGGGTCAAGCCAGAGAAAGAATGGGAGATGCCTACGACGATGCTGTGCAAAAAATGCAGATGGCTTCAGAGAAGGCTTCTGGTGTGGCTCACAACGCCAAAGATAACATGGATGAGTCCATAGAATATGGAAGAGATAGAGCAGTCAATGCCTATGACGAAGGTAAGCAGAAAATGAACATGGCATCAGAGAAATTCTACGAAGCCAAAGACAAAGCAAGTGACGTTTATGTCGAAGCTAGTGATAAAGTGAAAGAAGCAATGGACTGTGGAATGAATATGGCTGCTGATAAGGCCAATGATGCTAAAGATAACATAGGCGTGGCAAATGAATATGGAAGGGACAAAGTAGCCGAAACTTTTGACCAGATTAAACGTGAAGTGGAGGAAGCATACGCGTCGGCAAAGAATACAATTCCTGAAGAGGCAAAGGCTAAGTACGAGGCTGCAAAGGAGAAGGTTTCAGATGCCGCAGGGGATCTTGGAGCTAAGATGAGGAACACCCCAAACCAATAAACATGTGGTTAGTTTACATAAAAAAACCTCTCTTGGTTTTAAGCTCTTGCTGCCACAAGTTAATGTGTCCAGGGTACATGATTTTGTGTGTGTTTTTTCTTTAGATGCAGAAACACTTATTAGTTATTACTTGATAGACATTATGAAAACCGAACACAACTCTATTTTCCCTAATGATAGGAGAAAGCCTGAAAGACCCCACAGATAGGTTCTTCTCTGATATATCACCATGCCAGGTAGATTCATATACAAGGTGCTGTCCCATAATGCTGTAGGGACTATATTTGTAGCTCTTAGTAGGCTATGAATCTGTAATTATAATATTTTGCAGTTAGTGGATCCTCAGACAAATGATACAAATTGTTGGGCCCTTTACTAACTTGCGTAGTTTGATATTTTTGCTACAAGAAGAGATCATGAACATCTAAAAGGTGCATGGTTTAATAAAGGTAATCCCCTCTTTTTAATGAGTATATTTCTTCTGCATTTTCTTAGTGGTTTTCTTTATGGTGGTCCATAACTCAAAATGCCACTCCATTAGTCATTTTCTCACCAATACCAATTAAACACAGACAAACTTTATAATTTAACCCAGCAACTTTTGGCCCAAAACACATTACTACAAGTTGGAAAGTATCCTATTGAATGGGAACATCAACTTGCACATCTCCTTGCACCAAGCATGGGAATGATATCTAGCCACAGCATATTATTACATATACAAGAAATTCCTTTTGTATCTTACTGTAAGCTCCAAATCATGTGACAATAAGTTTAGTCTACGCCGTTGGATAAATCGTACGTGTGGCAAATTGGTAGGAACACAATTTGTACTATGTTGTGCGAAGTGCGTTGTTTATAGTCCTAGCTGCTTGTGGAGGTACACCAAAATTTGAGCACTTTTGAGAATAATGAGGAGAAACAGGTGCATGACAAATCCTTTCACCATTGATTGTAGTTTTCCATATATATATATATATATATATATATATATATATATATATATATTATACTCGCCACGAATATTGCGCTTAAAGCAAATCCTTTTCACTGCTATTTTTTAACCCTTAACCTCAGACATTTACACTTGTCACTGATTTTTTATTCTTCATGGTTTATATTCTTGTTATCGTCGTCTTGCTTCTGTTTCTGTGCAGTGGCATAATATTTGACAATTCCAGTACGGGGTTTAATGGTAGTAATTCTTTGTTTGAATTTTCTTAGTTCAATTATTCAGTGTAGCCTATAGAAATTTCAGTTAGATCAATGAAAAATGCATGTTATCACACGTTGCTTGGAAGGGCAGAAATGGAGAATGCATAAATCAAACTGCAACCATGAAATTAGTTTGTGCAGACGTGAGGGCAAGTACATTAACAAGAACAATTACCCTCTTAATTAATTAAAAATTACGTTAAATATGATTGTAAAATATTGTAATTATGTGACAATCTAGAATTGAATAACAATTACATATTTATTGTATTATAACTGATCAAATACCGGTTCTCCACGAAGATATAGCTTAAAATTTTTCTTCCGTAGGAAAAAAATCTGAAGATTGTTCGTCTCGATGTGTCACCAGTAAACTTAGGAACGGTGGAGCCAGTTTAAAATTAAAAGCCATTTTATGCAAGAAATACAATATAAAATGTATCTCTAGGATTAGGAATACATATTATGCATGAAAATAAAATCTATATATATAGAGGGTTTCACCAAAATAAATAAAAAAAGTTTCAGATATCTCAAATTAGGGCATCAATTCATTCGATATATGCTTTAATATCATGTCCATCCTAGGATTGAATTTCATGGGAAATTAATGGTGACTATGTTGCCCATTATCATCAACTTACTTTGCAAGGTAATCCGTTCTTTGAAACCGTAAACAAAGGGGAAGAGAATAGCCTTTTCATTTTCATTCTCTTCATCTTCTGGATGTTAAAATCCAAAACCAATGCTCGTAGTGCATTATTCTTAAGTAGTAGAAACTGGTTTCCTTTTAGTGCGAAGTAACTTTACTTTCATCGTGTGCGTGGCTAATATCATTGACAAGTACGAGTTGAAGAGGGAGGAAAAAAAAAAGAGCAGCTGAGGGGTGAAATAAATTTGTACAATCCAACCCTTCTCCTCCTTGTTTATTTGTCATCATTTGGCTACATCTTCCTGCTTCATTCGCGTAGAGACAATATAATATACACATTATACATATTATTATGAAAAAGGCAATTTGAGAAAGAAACGGGTATTGTCTGCTAATTCATGTGTCGGCCGGTGTGCTATGTATTCAATGACTGTGAGAGGACAAAATTGTGGTTGGGTCATGACCCATGAGTGTGCATCCTATTTTCTCCAAAGCCTTTCTACATTGATTAGCAAAGAAGTGAATAGGTTCACGAACCAACACATGAATGATTTAAAATGGAAATTTTCGTCATAGTGTTATGCATGAAATATTGTTACAGCCAGCTAGACTAAGTACCTCATCACAAACAACGTATACCAATATCATATCCTACTTCACCACATCGACCAAAAGTCATCCTCGTCTCTTTTCTTCTTTACCCTTTTTAATTTCTCTCTCTAGAGTCTTGCCCCCATGGTGAAAAATGGTTACGCCAAAAGAGAGAAAGAGGTAAGAAATTGAGAATTTATCCGTACATGTTTTTCTGCACCAAAAAAATCAGTGCAAATTGTCTTTGCTGCCTATGTCCATATGAAGGAGCACAAAACAAAGTGTGTTGATTAATAAAGTGCATACATACGAGAAAATGAGGAATTAAAATTGGAAGTTATAGAGCTGCTGTCAATTTAATGTATCTATGTAGCTACAGCTAGCTAGCTTCCTCTCCTTGAATAAGATATATGCACAGCTAAATCTACGATTATTCACTTAAAAATTAATCTGATGTCTTCTTTTTTGTTTTTATTTCTTTCCAAACAAGATGGAAGACAAGTGATCTAGAAAAGAAGGAGAGTGTAGGCTAGGCTTACATTGGCTGCTTCTTACTACTTGTTTGCTTGTTATTATGCATCCAAACCTTGAAAACCTGTCTCTTGACACCCACTTGAGAACAAAACTGTTGTACCTCCTGCTCATTATGTTTCTGGATCTTCCAACCGATCTTGTCAGCAAACTCCATCATCCTATCCTTCTGGTTTTGAGAGAACTTAGTCCTAAACCTCTTCTTGGAAGAGAGTGGTGCCTGCACTGATAACTGTGCTCCTCCAATGTTGGACTGGAACATGTTGAGATCTTCACTTGAGGACTCAGCTGGGCCTCCAAAGGCCATCATCACTGGGGGGACCAAACTTGGTGTACCACTAGTGCCAACCAATCTATGATGGAGGGAGGAAGAAGAGGGTGTAGGGTAGTGAAGGTGTCCATTGTGCTTGTTGGGGTAGTAGCCGGGATAATTGGGAGCATGGTGTGGTTGTGGTAGTGGTAGTGGTAGTTGTGGCTGTAACTCTCCATCAATCTCTTTCCTGTGGAAGTTGCGGTGGCACTCACACGCGGCGCATCTTAGTGATTCCGGCGTACCTTCTTCTCCACTTGCCATGAACTCTCCACAGCCATCCACCACGTGGCTCCCCATGCTTGCCGCGTGGTTCCGAAGACATTCTCGGTACCTGATCGACGGGGTCGAGGTTGAGTTTGCTGTTGCCGCTGCTATTGTTGTTCTTTGAGGGTGTGCAGTTCTTAGGGGATTCGGTGTGGGAGCAATTGGGGTGCCTAGATCTGGATCTGATGTGAGTCTATGAGGTTGACGAGGTGCAAGAGGAGGAGGTGGTGGTGGCGGATAGAGATTATGGTGAGATGGGTCGTTGAAGATTAATGTGTGAGTTTGGTGAGGTGGTTGATGAAGTTGATCATGATCATGATCAGTGCTACTTCTTTCACCAACAGTTGGAGAAGAGAGCTTGGAAGAGGAAGAAGAAGAATCTCGGTTGGGAAGGTTGTAACCTAAAGTTGTTGGTATCTCTATTTCCTTATCTTGGCCTCTCATTTCCATCAAACTTTGCTTTCTGTGGTGTCCAAGATCTATCTAGCTACGTCTGATCTCAACCCTCTGTGCTCTCTCTAATTATGACAAGCTGTAATCATCATCATCATCTTCGTGATTTTTTGCTTTAATTATGCTTGTGGATCTTCCTGTAGCCTCCTCAACCCTAATTCATATTATACCATCTAATCCAAGATCAGACTCAACCAAAGACATAATTACTAGCACGCCCACAATTATTCTTTCCTTATTCTGATTTTGACGTTCTGGGTGCTAATCCCACCAACCAATTTTCACTAATCAATCCTATTCTCAGAAGTGAATGAGTGATTTAACTGTATATATAGCTCCACTATAGCGATGGAAGGAATAGTTTTATTATTATTTCGTTTATATAATAGGGGAAGAAAACAAAGAGAAAAGGATAAAAAACTTTGGTAGAAAAAACTTAGTGAAATGAGACTACAAGCGGGGTCCCTAGGAGACCCAAACAATATAAAACTCACCTCTGCAGGCTACAGAGACTTGAGGAATAGAAGTAGAAAGCTTAATTGCACCAGCAACACAACACAAAACAACAGTTAAGATTGATTAAAAAATAAAGAGATGTGGGATGTTATTTGTTAATGTTGGATTAGAGAAAGTGGTGTGGGAAAGTAGGTGTTAAGGTGTGGGAGGGGAAGAGGGCCTAGAGGGGTTTTGTTTCCTACCAGCCATCCAGCCCCATAAAAACCAAGTAGGAAAGGAACAGGGGAAGAGGTTGTTTTGAGCTCAGAAGGAGTGGTGACTGGTACAGTAGTACTGCAAGAATTTGTCTTGCAGAACAACCGACAAGGTCATGTTGGTCCTCTCCCACAGCCTGCACCCTGGTCCAGTTTTTAATTATTGCCCTTCTCACTCACTCTCTCCAACACCCTTCAAATGAATGTGTCCCAAACCAGTATATTCGTACAAATTAAAGGGAGAGAAAGCAATTAAGGAGAGAAGAGACATCCTACAATTAGCCTTAAATACACAAGTTTATAGAGTAACAAGACATGCAAATGATAGCCATAACCCAGATTAAAATAAGATAATTTATGAAAGATAATCATGAGTAGAATCCAAGATGAAGTGTTTCTCTTTAGATGATGTGAGGAAATTAAAGGGTGTGTGTGAATGCTTGCTGGGCCACTCCTACACACACATCCCTTGTCTTGTTATCGTGTGTCAGATTCTCTCTCTCCTCAAGGCTCTTTGTGTTGTGTTGGTGACTTTGTGCGCCTGCTGCTGCATTATCTGCAACCCACTATTTCTTTGGACCAATGCCTTACTTTTCTTACCACCTTGCTTCTTTCACCATGCAATTGATGCCTTATTTGCTACCTTTGTTAGCATCTTCTTTCACTTTTCTCTTTCAGGCATCAATTTGTGCTTGTTTACTTTCTAGTACACACACACTCGCGTTGCTAGTGCCATCAAAAAGTCACGCTCAAACCGAGCAAATCTATGCATTATTCACTTTTTCCTCCTGCCAACCATCCTTTATTTCATATCACTCATCCTCATGGTTAAAATGTTTTTACTTTATCTTAAGTTTCAAACCATGGTTTTAGGCAAGAAATTTTAAAAAAATAATTAATTAATTTCTAGTGTAATACATATTTTCAACATGATTGATTATGTAAACCATCAAACTTGGTTTGAATTTGTGGGTTTTAAAGTAGGAGAGAGAAATAAAACAATAAATATTGGTATTTAATTTATCTATAAACACATTTTTTTAAATATTTCTTCTTATGACTCGAGTCCACCAGATATTATTTTTAAATTGATACCGAGTTTTTTTAAATACCTATTTAAAATTGTAAATATTGAAAAATCGCATCTTTTATAAGTGGATATCAAAACTAATATTTTTTATTTATAATCAAAGAAAATAATTCTTGATTACTTCTCAAAACTTGATAAGAGAAGTTGAATTTTGATTGTTTTTTCTGTATATATGATTATCTGTGGCGTTGAGTAATTGGAGCTAAAGTTTTGTGTTTTGTTTTTTGGTCCAAGTCAGTTTAAAATAATTTTCTATTTCCTTAATAATAAACAGTTTTTTTTTTTTTGGCAATCACTAATTCAATATAGAGTTAATTATTTTTTAAAGTTTCCTACAAAAATGGACCTTTTTGAATTCTAATTAGACGTCATGAAATCCACTGAGTGAACTGGAATAAGAAAAAAAGCTGTCAATTTATTGATCTTAGGAGATGCTATTAGATTTTGTTTATATTTTATAATAATTTTTTTAAGGTTTATCACGGTATTTTAAATTATAGTTTTTCAAAGCATAAAATAAGTTTATTCGAACAAAAATATTGATAATTTTTTTTTCAAAAAAAAAAACGACAAGGCGTAGTTTTGCAGATAAAGTGATCTAAAAAAGAAAATAACTCATGGAACTCTATGCAATTTATTATATATTAATATGTTTAAGTTAACTTATGTCATATTAAGCATAATTAATCCAGATTGGAAACTTTAATTTCTAGTGATTATTATATTTAGATATCTTTTAATAAAAACAAAAAACAGGTCAATCTAAAATTTTGACAAGTCCTTCTCATTGCCTCAAATAACATACAATCCTATCTTATTTTATGAAAGTCAAGTTTTTTTATCTATCTTTTTTCTTCTTTATTTTATTTTTTTCCATTACCCCACTTGCTATATTTATAATTAAATTCTTTTTTTTCCCTCAAATATCCCTTTCTCCCCAAGATGTATAGATTTCGAAAGATTGAAAAAATCTTTTTGGAATAACATGATGACATTGCATGCCATGCCAAACTTTGATGAGAGATAAAAGAGTACGTGTTTTTTCTTATCATTGATTTGAAAGTCATCATATATAGAATCTATGGCAGAGAAGTAAAGTTATTATTATAATTATTATAATAATAATAATAATAATTATTATTATTATTATTATTATTATTATTATTATTTTTAATGTGAAGAATGTATCTCTAACCTTTTCCATGCACATAAGCATAAAATGAATATAATATCACGTAACATCACCTCAAACACGTAGGAATCATATCTTATCGTACTTGTTTAAATAAAAAGGAATTACGGAACTTAAATAATTGTCACTTCTCAAAAAGAGTATCTAACCACTTGTCCAATTAATTAAAAATAAAACAATATTTTTTCTTACATTTTTTTATGCAAGACGGAACTTAATAAAAACTATTACATAAAAAAACAAAAGATTGTTGCTTTTATTTAATGTGTTATATATACATATAAAAGTAAAGTTATTAATCTTGGGGAGTATCGTGAAATATAAGAAGAAATGAAATTATATTAAGTGATAACTAAGTACGTCTATTTCATCAATAATATAACTTTAAAAAGTTTACAAATGAAAATTTAATATTTAAAATACGAGAAATTAAATAGAAGAATATTTATTATTAAGTGGAATAATAACATGCTATGTAGACAAATTTTGAAGGGACAAAGACAAAAAAAATCGTAATTTTCTATCATTTGGTGCAACTAGATAGAGGAAAGAAGGGAGTAATGTAGGTCGACTTAAATTTCACGTGCTTATCTAGTTTTCATGGAAGATGAAGAAAAAAAAGACAGAACAAAAATTCTATATTTTTTTCCTTTATATTCTCTCTTACCCATAAAAAATTATAATTTCATACTCTAGATATTTTAATTCTATATTTTTTCTTTTACTTCTATTTTTCTTTTCTAAATTCCTTAAAGAAATGGGAAGGTTGGAATGCACCAACCCAAAGCTTGACCTGTAGGTTTGGATTTGTAAATAGGTTTGGTGTAGTTTTTAAGGAAGAATTTATGTGTTTCTAGTGGTCTCAACTTGATTTAGTTTTATTCCTTTTAAAGTTCAATTTTTTTAACATTTTAAATTGATAATAAAAAAAGATTAATAAAAAACTTGTTTTTATTTTAGTTCCTATAATACTTTCTTTATATTTGTCCCTCGAAAATTTAAACTAATAATTTTAGTCCTTATAAAATGAAAAGAAAAATTAGCTTTGTTCCTATAAAATAATTTTTCTTTATTTTTACTCCCTAAAAAATTTGAAAGTGACATTTTTTGATATATAAAATTCATTTTAAGGTAAATAAATAACATTTAAACCAAATATTTATCATATTAATTATATATTTTATAACTATTATATTTAAGCGTCGTATAAGTAGTTTAAAAATTAATTTATCTTACCTATATTGCTCTCATTAATTAGTTGAAACTTCTCGAAGAGATAAAGGACAAGTTATTCCATTACCCATAACAAATTTCCACTTTGGTAAAAAATTTTATATTCTTCACTATCTTTATTACATGCTCCGATCATAATTCTAACAAAATCTTAGTAAAAAAATTGCTAGAGTTTAAAGATAATAGAAATCTAAAAGTATGCTAGATTTAAGTTTGTGAAAATAAATTATTTATTTTTCTGATAAAAAAATTTTAATTTAACAAACTATATTTTGTCTTTTATATATTTTACAGCTTCATTCTCTATTGTTATAAAAGAATATATCTTGCAAAGAGTAAATGAGATTTGGCAAAGACAAAGCAAAAGGCAAAATCTTTTTTTTTTTTCAGATCAAGAAAAAACTCAGGATAAAAACAATAGTTAACGTTAAACAGAACTACCAACAACATATATGTTTGTATGAAAAATATTATATAACTGTTAGTATCAAATCGAGAAAAGCGATCGAAATCGAAAGAAAGAAAAGCGAGAAAATATGACTGATTGACAAATCGATAAGATAGACAAAAAACCATTTGATGTCTAATTAGAAGTACGTAGCACATAACATCGAGAAGTACAATCGAGAATCGAGTGAAAGATAGCCAAATGCCTATTGTCGAATATAAACTAAGAAATTAGAGTTATATGAGGTCAAGGTTAAAAAAGGAACCGTAAGCAATTTGGAGTTCTTGAAAACACAAAATCGAAAGTGAAGAAAGTCAACCTGCG